TAATAATAGATATTGAAACGATGTAATAGCTGCAAATGAATGAATTTTTCGTTGTGCTGCAACAAAACATACTTATACCGGTAACAAAATAGAACTCGTATCTACTGAATTTTTTATTATATGGGATATAACGATTTCATAACAATTATCAAATATCTGTTCATAACTAATATATTTCATATTAAATATTTAACATTAAGTAACTATTACTAAATTATTTAATTGATGTTACTGTAAATGCAATTACGTCATACTCCCGATCTATTAAATATTTGGTAATTATTATCATATTTAGTATTAGTTACTAAGGATTCAACGAATTTCTGTAACTAAATGCAGTTTGTTATAGTTACCAGTCTTTTCTCTCAGTGCGCGTTCGTGTACGCGTGATGCCACTAATTATCTTACTCAGGCGTGATGCGTGCCGTTTAACATGTCTAATGTAATAATCACGCCTCGATTTCGTTGTATGAACCTCTCAGAAGCCTCTCGGAAATCGATTATCCCTTTGTAGAACTCCTGGCGAAACTTTGCACAACTCTATGTGAAACTTTTCGATAAGTCAAGCACTAATTCCTCTGCTCTGACATTAAAATTGAAAAATTTGCCAAAGACGCGGTTAATTACTCCGGCTTCTGAGAGACTGACTTCCTTCTTTCTTGGGGAGGCTCGTGTGAAACGTTGCCTCTCAACGAAAGATCGAGAGTCGGGGCGGGAGGCCAAGTCGCAGCGACAAGTTCCACCGGTCGGTTCATTGAGCCGTAAGAGCTCTTACATCCGCAAGCTCGTCCAGGACGACGTCACTTGCAGGCGATCGCTCTCGTGGATGGGCAGAACGCGCTGGGCCAGGTGATCGGCAAGTACTGCATGGAAATGGCGATCGAAAAGGCGAAGAAGTTCGGCATCGGCATGGTGGCGGCTCGCGGCTCCAACCACTACGGCATCTGCGGCTACTACAGCATGATGGCGATGGAGCAGGGCCTCATCGGCTTCAGCTGCACCAACACGAGTCCTTTGATGGCGCCAACGCGCAGCATGAAGGCCGGCTTAGGGACGAATCCGTTGTCTTTGGGCATGGCCGCGTGCGAAGGGGACGAATTCGTCCTCGACATGGCGACGACCGCTGTAGCGCTCGGTAAGATTGAGCTGGCTATTCGAAAGAACGAGGATATCCCGGAGGGTTGGGCGCTCGATTCCCAAGGGAAAGTGACGCGAAACGCTCAAGAGGCTTACGACGCCGGGCTGATAATGCCTGTCGGCGGTACCGAGCAGACTTCCGGCTACAAGGGCTACGGTCTGGGTCTGATGGTCGAGATACTCTGCGGAGTACTCAGCGGAAGTCAGTTCGGGCCGAATATTCGAACCTGGAAGAGCGGCGACCGCGTCGCCGATCTCGGACAGTGTTTCATGGCGATCAATCCGGAAGCGTTCGCGCAGGGATCCAAGGAGAGACTGTCGACCTTACTCGGACAGCTGAGAGGCTTGCCGACTTCCGGCCAGGAGCCTGTTCTGATCGCCGGGGACCCCGAGAAGCGGCACATGGAGAAGGTTGACAGAGAAGGCGGGATCGCGTATCACCCGAATCAGCTGCAAGCTTCGGAAGAGTTTGCCAAGCACATGGGTGTGCAGCCGATGAAACTCGTCTCTAAGTCTGCTTAAGTCTCTTTTTGTAGGTATCAGCGAGGAGTTCCGTTATTCTCTTAAAGTGAATCAGTGAAGCAACATTGAAAGCAAATATACACTGCTCAGTGCTATATTTATAACTACCATCAATGACTGTTCACTAATCCACTTTAAGAGAGTAGCTATGCACTTTTTCCACCTTGAATCCTGCTTTCCTATCTAACACCTTGTTTTGTCTTCACTCACGCGCCATAATAATGACGCATTTTTTGAAGGGAAGGGAGTTTAGAAATATAACAAAATAAAAGAAAAATTATTACACATGATAGAATTAATCTTTCGACATATATTACGGTGTCTTAAACACGGGAGAAGATATAATCATGCCACAAAAAACATAAAGGTCAAACACGTGCAGACGCGACGATACTGTCGATGCTAAATTCGTATGACGCTTTTGTCTCGATCATTTACGCATGCACGAATAAAGTGCACGCGCACGAGTCAGTTCGCGTGTGCAATTCGATGATTTGACGGATACGATGTCTATAAGGATGACATAACAACGCTGTGGTTTGATCGCTGGTCGATGATGACGACCTGGCCTTGGACTTGTCCGCTCGTTCTCGATTACAGTCGTTACGTCTTCGCGCACGAGTGGGTGTCGCCGATAATAAAACTTGCCTGATTATCGCGAACAAATGAGACGTAAAAAAATGTGTATATGTATTTATCTTTTGCACTTCACTCGTTCCCGATAAGCGACCGAGTATATGTGCACATGAATACGCATGTGTATGTATATCCGAGAGCGTCGGAAATTCATTATTTTTCATAAGTACTAATTATACAATATATATTCATATTTTTACACGTACTTTGTACGTTCATTGTGTATGATAACGTATTATACTGTTTTCCTTACGATACTCTTATGTACTTTACCAGAACTCGAACAATTGCTTTTCGAGGTAGTTGACCAGAGCACTGTCTTTTTCTCTCTCTGTCTTTCTGCTCGTATTTTCTCGTTCTTTCTGCTGTAATAAAATAGCAAACAGGATTATCGAGAGACAATCGTGCAGACAGAGCGTCTGACTCGTTTTCGCGTTATCAATGCCAGCCAAAAAATAGAGATAGAGAGAGAGAGAGAGAGAGAGAGAGAGAGAGAGAGAGAGAGAGAGAGAGAGAGAGAGAGAGAGAGAGAGAGAGAGAGAGAGAGAGAGAGAGAGAGAGAGAGAGAGAGAGAGAGAGAGAGAGAGAGAGAGAGAGAGAGAGAGAGAGAGAGAGAGAGAGAGAGAGAGAGAGAGAGAGAGAGAGAGAGAGAGAGAGAGAGAGAGAGAGAGAGAGAGAGAGAGAGAGAGAGAGAGAGAGAGAGAGAGAGAGAGAGAGAGAGAGAGAGAGAGAGAGAGAGAGAGAGAGAGAGAGAGAGAGAGAGAGAGAGAGAGAGAGAGAGAGAGAGAGAGAGAGAGAGAGAGAGAGAGAGAGAGAGAGAGAGAGAGAGAGAGAGAGAGAGAGAGAGAGAGAGAGAGAGAGAGAGAGAGAGAGAGAGAGAGAGAGAGAGAGAGAGAGAGAGAGAGAGAGAGAGAGAGAGAGAGAGAGAGAGAGAGAGAGAGAGAGAGAGAGAGAGAGAGAGAGAGAGAGAGAGAGAGAGAGAGAGAGAGAGAGAGAGAGAGAGAGAGAGAGAGAGAGAGAGAGAGAGAGAGAGAGAGAGAGAGAGAGAGAGAGAGAGAGAGAGAGAGAGAGAGAGAGAGAGAGAGAGAGAGAGAGAGAGAGAGAGAGAGAGAGAGAGAGAGAGAGAGAGAGAGAGAGAGAGAGAGAGAGAGAGAGAGAGAGAGAGAGAGAGAGAGAGAGAGAGAGAGAGAGAGAGAGAGAGAGAGAGAGAGAGAGAGAGAGAGAGAGAGAGAGAGAGAGAGAGAGAGAGAGAGAGAGAGAGAGAGAGAGAGAGAGAGAGAGAGAGAGAGAGAGAGAGAGAGAGAGAGAGAGAGAGAGAGAGAGAGAGAGAGAGAGAGAGAGAGAGAGAGAGAGAGAGAGAGAGAGAGAGAGAGAGAGAGAGAGAGAGAGAGAGAGAGAGAGAGAGAGAGAGAGAGAGAGAGAGAGAGAGAGAGAGAGAGAGAGAGAGAGAGAGAGAGAGAGAGAGAGAGAGAGAGAGAGAGAGAGAGAGAGAGAGAGAGAGAGAGAGAGAGAGAGAGAGAGAGAGAGAGAGAGAGAGAGAGAGAGAGAGAGAGAGAGAGAGAGAGAGAGAGAGAGAGAGAGAGAGAGAGAGAGAGAGAGAGAGAGAGAGAGAGAGAGAGAGAGAGAGAGAGAGAGAGAGAGAGAGAGAGAGAGAGAGAGAGAGAGAGAGAGAGAGAGAGAGAGAGAGAGAGAGAGAGAGAGAGAGAGAGAGAGAGAGAGAGAGAGAGAGAGAGAGAGAGAGAGAGAGAGAGAGAGAGAGAGAGAGAGAGAGAGAGAGAGAGAGAGAGAGAGAGAGAGAGAGAGAGAGAGAGAGAGAGAGAGAGAGAGAGAGAGAGAGAGAGAGAGAGAGAGAGAGAGAGAGAGAGAGAGAGAGAGAGAGAGAGAGAGAGAGAGAGAGAGAGAGAGAGAGAGAGAGAGAGAGAGAGAGAGAGAGAGAGAGAGAGAGAGAGAGAGAGAGAGAGAGAGAGAGAGAGAGAGAGAGAGAGAGAGAGAGAGAGAGAGAGAGAGAGAGAGAGAGAGAGAGAGAGAGAGAGAGAGAGAGAGAGAGAGAGAGAGAGAGAGAGAGAGAGAGAGAGAGAGAGAGAGAGAGAGAGAGAGAGAGAGAGAGAGAGAGAGAGAGAGAGAGAGAGAGAGAGAGAGAGAGAGAGAGAGAGAGAGAGAGAGAGAGAGAGAGAGAGAGAGAGAGAGAGAGAGAGAGAGAGAGAGAGAGAGAGAGAGAGAGAGAGAGAGAGAGAGAGAGAGAGAGAGAGAGAGAGAGAGAGAGAGAGAGAGAGAGAGAGAGAGAGAGAGAGAGAGAGAGAGAGAGAGAGAGAGAGAGAGAGAGAGAGAGAGAGAGAGAGAGAGAGAGAGAGAGAGAGAGAGAGAGAGAGAGAGAGAGAGAGAGAGAGAGAGAGAGAGAGAGAGAGAGAGAGAGAGAGAGAGAGAGAGAGAGAGAGAGAGAGAGAGAGAGAGAGAGAGAGAGAGAGAGAGAGAGAGAGAGAGAGAGAGAGAGAGAGAGAGAGAGAGAGAGAGAGAGAGAGAGAGAGAGAGAGAGAGAGAGAGAGAGAGAGAGAGAGAGAGAGAGAGAGAGAGAGAGAGAGAGAGAGAGAGAGAGAGAGAGAGAGAGAGAGAGAGAGAGAGAGAGAGAGAGAGAGAGAGAGAGAGAGAGAGAGAGAGAGAGAGAGAGAGAGAGAGAGAGAGAGAGAGAGAGAGAGAGAGAGAGAGAGAGAGAGAGAGAGAGAGAGAGAGAGAGAGAGAGAGAGAGAGAGAGAGAGAGAGAGAGAGAGAGAGAGAGAGAGAGAGAGAGAGAGAGAGAGAGAGAGAGAGAGAGAGAGAGAGAGAGAGAGAGAGAGAGAGAGAGAGAGAGAGAGAGAGAGAGAGAGAGAGAGAGAGAGAGAGAGAGAGAGAGAGAGAGAGAGAGAGAGAGAGAGAGAGAGAGAGAGAGAGAGAGAGAGAGAGAGAGAGAGAGAGAGAGAGAGAGAGAGAGAGAGAGAGAGAGAGAGAGAGAGAGAGAGAGAGAGAGAGAGAGAGAGAGAGAGAGAGAGAGAGAGAGAGAGAGAGAGAGAGAGAGAGAGAGAGAGAGAGAGAGAGAGAGAGAGAGAGAGAGAGAGAGAGAGAGAGAGAGAGAGAGAGAGAGAGAGAGAGAGAGAGAGAGAGAGAGAGAGAGAGAGAGAGAGAGAGAGAGAGAGAGAGAGAGAGAGAGAGAGAGAGAGAGAGAGAGAGAGAGAGAGAGAGAGAGAGAGAGAGAGAGAGAGAGAGAGAGAGAGAGAGAGAGAGAGAGAGAGAGAGAGAGCAAGTGTGACTGACGTATGTATGACTTACACATAATGTTTGTCATAAATTCTTCTCTCTGTAGAGATCGTAAGAATACTCGCAAAATTTGTCAGAGAAGCGAGTTTTTCTTGACGTGACGTGTCCAGAGATCGTCCTGCAACAATTTCTCGAAAAAATTATCATTTGAAGCGCATTGTAGAGTGCAGCCTGGTCGTCCAATTTATGGCAGACTCAGGATTTCTGTCGAAAGTTCATCGGGAGAATTGGTATTCCATCCCGTCGAATGATGGACTGGTTTGCCTCGTGGTGCCGCGCGCATGTGTGTCGCGTTCAAGATACGAATAGAAATCGCGACGCGGCTGTTTGTCGTCGTGACGATAAATTTTAAGATCCACGTGACGCCTGTCCTGCCGCGATTTCTTGCATAACGAACGAATCACCTCGTGGCGTATTGACCGCGTGGTTAGTTCATATTTTTATCGATTGGCGTAAGAATTGCAAGAATCTCTCTCTCTCTCTCCCTCCCTCCCTCCCTCTCCCCCTCTCCGGGAGGACGACGGCATTCAAAACTATATAACGTCTGTCACGTGCGGTGCAATTAGAGCTTCTCGCGGCGAAGGCCGGTCGCAATTATCACCATTGACTTTTATACCAAAAGGAGAACTTACGCAAGTGACTTCAAAGAGACGAGAAGACGCGATCTTGAGGAAAAACGGGAGGCCGGCCTCTCGAGAGTATCATACGCGATAATCAATAGTCTACGAGCGTGTGCAACTTTGAATTGTCGCTCTCTCGACGGATTCTACACTTTATCTCCTCAACTGTTACCCAACAAAATCTCCCTCGTACATTTCTTACTCGTTGTATACTTCTTTTGCAAAATAATGTTCAATTTATTTGAAGTGGTCTGGCTTTTAATTTATATGTTAGTTGTGCAAAAAAAGGATTATCTTCGTGACTAGATCTTATCCAAATTTATATTCTCTCATAATGCTCACAGCCGTTTAAAGATTGGTGTACTTCTCGAGTCGAAATTTTGATGTTACTTTGACGCTCTTAAGGATAGTTTGCGCCTACTTAAACGGTTTATAGCTTAGCTAAAACCTACTTTGACGATAATGATACTCATTAACTTCTCCTTTGAATCTTTAACTCCACTTTGTCAAAATTTTGACGCTATTTTGACGCTATTTTGACGCTCTTAAAAATAGTTTGAGCCTACTTAGATAATTTACAACCCAGGTGAAACCTATTTTCACGATATTGACACCCATTTCCGAGTCGAAATTTTAACTTTATGTTGAACCTTGAATTCTACACCGCAGTAGGAGCTAAGATAGCAAAGTAGGTTTAATTCTAATGATATAATTTACTCCTACTTTGACCCTGATGATGTG